CCGTTGAAGGTCAGTGGCATGGCGGTTCCTAGCCGTTGAAGGTCAGTGGCATGGCGGTTCCTAGCCGTTGAAGGTCAGTGGCATGGCGGTTCCTAGCCGTTGAAGGTCAGACCTGGCTGAAGCAAATGATGCAGTCTGTCCGAGCACTTTCCATGGCAGTAGCGACAAGGAAGAATGAGAATTGTCGTATCCATCCTGTGAGAGACAGGTTGGAATCTGGAAAATAGTTTTGTTTTTCTCCTAATAACTAGGAAAGGCATTTGAACTCTATCAAGACAAGAATGTGAAGTGGTCAGGGCAACTCTTGCCCATATATGAGAACAGTACTCGGCCTGATATGACTACTATAATGGTAAAGGATAGCATGAGGCGCCAGTTACTTACTGGAGCGGTACGTGGAGCCGATAATTTTATCTGCATCTTTATCGATGCATGGTATATAGGAACTTCACTTGAGGATGGTTGTGAGTTTGAGGACCAACAACCTCTCAAGATGAAGTGCCTCCTCGAGGGAACATCCGTTCAGCGTGACTCGCGGAAATTTGGAGTTTGATCAGCGGTAATGGAATGTGACCAGTTTGGTTTTAGAGACATTGAATGTAACCAGCCAGTTTTTACACCAATAGGAAGTTAGTGTTAGATCTAAAAAGAGGTCAGCTGCCAAGCTCAGATCGTCAAGACTTATAGGAACGCCAGTTTATCTTCAGCATACAGGCTCACGAATTATCGGAGTATATTCTTAGGTAAATCTTTTATGTAAATCGGAAAAAAAAATTTGTTCCGAGTAGTGACGCCTGGGGGACAAGTGAGGTGGCCGTCAGAGCCTCGGGGTAAGGACCGTTAATAAGTACCTTCAGGTATCGACCTGTTCGGAAGGATTTTATAATAGCGAGAACCATTCGGATGATTTTGTAGCTGGAGGTAGTGTAGCTAAAATTCGTGCCACTCTTTATCAAAGACCTTCGCTATTTCTGACGTTGTGTTCCTTGCGGTATGTATGTGTCACAAAAAGACCTCACTAATTCTGTGTGTAATGGTATTTAGGAAGTCAGAAGTAGATCCTACTGACTGAAAACCATACTGCTCTTAAGAGGCTCTTTCTATACATTTGCTCGACGACCTTGTTGATTAAGGTCAAAAAAAGCTTACTGATGTGACTACTAATGGTTCTATACCGAGATGATGTGGATCGGTTGCTTGCATTCTTGAAGATAGGGCATACACTTTCATATTACACATGAATGGGAGAGATAACTTTCTGGATTTTTGAGGGTCGAGGTATTTGATAAATCTAGAGATTTCTTACTGAAAACGGTATATTACTGAGATTCTGCTAAGTGTGACGTAGGAAGTTGGGGAGGATTTTAGTTTTGTCATTCAACGTTGAGTTTGAGGCAAAGATCGAGACGAAGAGCTTCACTTTGTCTGTCGGGGCTGCTATGATTTGGGGCTCATTTATAATAATGAGAACACTCTTTATCTAAGGTCACGTATTGATAAGGATTTTTACCATGTTTATGAAACTGCAGTTTTTATTGGGCATACTTCTTTGTACGTTTTCACTCTTGCTTTTTTAAAATGCCGTTTTCTTCAGCTGTTGCGTGTATTGAATTCTGCAATAATAATTTCCATAATCTGTTTCTCGCAGTACGTTATTGCTAGGAATATTTTTCTGTAATAATGCATCTTTTTGTAGTCTGTACTTCACACCTTACAGGTATGTACTTTTTCTTCCGGTTTGTAGAGGTTAATAAATATATTATATATCATTTTTGCCCATCATAAATCTGGTTTTGAGTTCAATTATGTATTTTCTATCTGCCTCTTGCAGGAAACGATTGACGTTTTCGGTTACCCTCGGTGCTGTTTTTTTCCTTCATTACATTTATCGAATTCTTTGACAATCCCAGTTAGTTCTTATTTAATTCTCTGCGAGTTTTGTTGTTTCAACATATAGTTTCGTATGTTGGACAAGTATTTTTTTTTTTACATTGACGTACAGATTCTTCTGCATCATTACTTATTTAACATTCATTTAGCAATTTGTATTGTATGATCGGCTTCTCAATTCGACAGGGGTTTCATTTGTATTGTGGGGATTATCTGTTGCCATACTTTAAATTTAAGCGACAACAGATAAATGATTAGGTTTCTTTTTCATTTTTACTGTGTGTTTAGTCACAAGCTACTTGGTAACGACGGTGACGCACATAGAATACATGAAATTAACATGAGCCTGAATTATATCTAGCAACCGAAGGATGGAGGCCATCAACTGTACACCAAACGGTTATGAAAGGCAAATGTTGAATATACAATCTATGTTCATTGCTCATATAATCTGTGTTTAACATGAATAATGGTGGGTTTTACGTCGCATCAAACATCAATGTGATTGATTTTTATATAACTTTTTGATATCAACCATTAGAATTTACATATATATCGAGTTGGTATGTACATTATCGCCAGAGAGATATAAAAGTTTGGTTAGTGGCTAATAGTCGTTTCCTAGCATTTAGTCTTGTGCACAGCTACAATAATGGAATATTTCAACTTCAGGATTCAGAAGAAATTTCCGTATTAAACGCGAATCACCAATGCTTACCAAATATATATATATATATATATATATATATATATATATATATATATATATAATGAACTTTTCAATTCTCTATTAAATTTTATTTTCGTGTTTACCTCATCCATTCTTTTCTTTCACTCTGAGCCGCTGCCAATCTCGAACGATGCAGTCAAATTCATGAATTGCCACATTTAATTGGATTTTGGTGCCGATACTAAAAATGGAAGCTTCATTCATTTCAAATCTTACTGCATGACTGTTCGAGAATGTTGAAGTTTCTTCATAATTCCACTATTCAACACACAAAAAAATAGAGCATTTTCAACGCAGCAATCAACATCAGACGAATGTGCTACCATTTTTTTTTTTTCCGAAGGAAAATGAAGAAATAACAGACGGGACGACTGATAACGCGCATATCTCTAATCGAACAAGCCACAACGACTATCCTCATTTTTCTCATTCTTTTAGTACAATAATCTATCTGATCATTGTCGGAAACCCCGAGGAAGATATTAAATACTCATATTATGTTGGCACAAATTATTGTAATTGATTCTTTATAGGAACATATTTTTATATGTTCCTGATAATTGTATTATTCTGTACAGAGAAACATTTGCATATTTATTTTTAATATCTGATGATAATGGTAATTTTCATCTACGGTATGATGAACTTCATCGGCGTTTTGGGCAAGATTATAAACTACGGCAAACAGCAAGGCCTCTGATCAAAGAGCGTGGATCTACCTTTTAATTTCTGGTTTTCTCAGATCAACCGTAACCCGGAGTGGTAACACCTGTTAGGGTCCAATATTTTGGCAAATAGTTAACCACTAAACTGGGATCAAAAAACTATGGATGTTTTAAAATAGGTTTTAGTACTAGTAATATATTTTTGTAAATATATATATATATATATATATATATTACCAGCAATACATTTTGTATATATATATATATATATATATATATATATATAGCAATACATTTTTGTATATATATATATATATATATATACCAGTAATACATTTTGTATATATATATATTACCAGCAATACATTTTTGTGTGTGTATATATATATATATATATATATATATACCAGCAATACATTTTTGTAAAATAAAAAAATATTACCAGCAATACAATTTTGAAAGAACAAAACTCATTGCCAGCAGTACAATTTTGAAAGAACAAAACTCATTGCCAGAAATAAAAATTTTGTCTGCATTAAATCACCAATGAGGTTGATATGCCGTAAAACAAACGAAACAAACCTGGTAACCTTTGTCTGTAACTCTTGATAGTACTGAAATCTTCATCTATTTTCAATACAGAAGGGGCCATATTTTAACTTTTGATTTCAAAGTTATTATATTTTCACCAATGTACCATATCATTTAACATGTATACTTAGCGTGATTTATAATAGTTCTTTAATCGTCTTTATTTTTTTATATTTACTTTTAGCATAAGCTTTTCATCATCATATTGTCTTTAGCATTGTAAATATAGAATGCACAATATTAAAATGTTTTACAAAGCATGTGGGCATTGTGATAGAGAAAATATTATTGGCTGCAAGTTTGAATTATGGGGAATTCTTATCAATTTAGACCGAGCTGAAACTTGTGTGTATATATATATATATATATATATATATATATATATATGAAAAAGATATGCACATGATACAAATCTTTATGTAGTAGAAACAATTATTTTTCAACCCTGTCCTTATGGGAAAATATAATCACCAACACAAATTATATTCGTTGGGGAAAATTTCAGTTTTCACACTTCTATAAGATTGATGAATTCTCAATAGCATATTTCTAAAATTACTGACAACTATGAATTCTACTTCAATTAAAATAAGCATCTTTTCTGTGATTAAAAGAAAACGTTTTCTCATAAATCTGAAACTATATTTTCGACGGTTCTATCAAGTTGCTGAACAGTGCTCTTTATCCAGACTCTGTGACTCAGTTAAATTTTATGAACTTTTGTGTGCTGAGTAATTTTTCTCATATTTAAAGAAAATGATCTCTCAAATACATTCGACTAAAATCATGCTATCCAAAAGTAAATCAATGCGTAGATATTTAATTATTCCGGTGTATTGTAGCATAAAATAAGTTCTCCTTTTGAAAGGTGTTTAGAGAACAAAAGCCAGTATTGTCTCGAATTGAAACGTGAACGTGACCAAGTGATATAACTCGAAGTTACAACGTGATGCAAACAATTAGAAAACAAAACTTCTGTTTTGTTCTTTCTACTACCGGTTGCATCTTTCGCAATTGGAAAATTACTCTGCTCCGACCCCTATTATTAATCCAGTGTACGAATTTGATTGTAAAAGGAAACGATTATCGCATATAATAACAGATTAGGAGAAGCGGCATGGAAATTAATGAACGTACATGAAGCAAAGCGATGGCAACGGAAGAAGTTGAAAAGGTAAAAGAATAATGAAGTTACGAAGATGGCGGTGAAGTGGTTTCAAACAGGCGCTGGTTGTATTAATGATGGCGGAACAGATCGCGAAAAGGAGCAGAAAACGCTAGTGAAGTTAAAAAAAGGTATAAGTAGAGGTTTGCGGTTATATTATGCGAACTCTGGTAGGAAACGTAATTGGTGATTCAATTTTGTCTTTGACACGGACAACCAAGAGATTGGAGAATGACGGGAAGGAGGAGGGAGCGAATAACGAAAAAGATGAGTGGATCGAGAAAAGAATGGAACAAAGCTAAACAGAAAATGGAGGATGTAAAATATTTCAAATGAAGAAGTGTAATAGAAAACATGAGCATAAATACAAAACAGAAAAGAAAAAAAAAAACTATCACGGAAGATAAAATGAGAAAATTGAGGAAAGGACAATTATACAAATGTAAAATATAGAAATAAAAAAATCAAATTACCAATTTATAAAAATGAAAAAGAATAAGCCGCTGAAAATGTAAGGAAGCATCAATAAAAGATAAAATGAGAAAACATAAAATAAAACAACGATGAAAATAATCGAGGTGGAACAGGAAAAAAAAAAACAGAAGCGAGGTGGGACGTAAAGTGGAAATAGTCGACAACGAAAGGAAGTAGAAAAAGAGGGGAGAAAGCTGAATAGAAGTGAGTCCAGCCAAAAGAAAGAAAAATGAAAAAGAGCGAGGAGGGAATGAAAATGAGCGAGGCCAAAAGAAAGGGAGATGAAAAGGATGCCCGAAAGCCGAATAAGTGCGATGACATAGGAAGATGAACAGAGGAGACGAAGACGAGCGAGGACAAAACAGACAGATGAAAATGACGGACAAAAGTTAAAGAGGGGCGGAGATAAAAGAAAGGAAGATGAAATGGATTGAGAAAGGACGATCACGAACGAAGAGCAACGAAAGAAAAAGTAATACTTGAAGAAGGAAACCCCGCCCATATATCAAAAAATTTAAAACAAATCATAGTGAGTAACTGTCAATGAAAAGTAACACTGTGTAATAGGAAATGAAAAGTAACACTGTGTAATAGGAAATGAAAAGTAACACTGTGTAATAGGAAATGAAAAGTAACACTGTGGAAATAAAAGTAACACTGGAAATGAAAAGTAACACTGTGTAAATGAGGAAATGTGTAATAGAAAAAAAGTAACACTGTGTAATAGGAAATGTGTAAAAAACAAAAGTAACACTGTGTAATAGGAAATGAAAAGTAACACTGTGTAATGAAAAAGTAAATGAAAAGTAACACTGTGTAATGAAAACACTTTGTAATAGAAATGAAAGTGAAAAATGAAAAGTAACACTGTGTAATAGGAAATAAAAGTAACACTGGAAATGAAAAGTAACACTGTGTAATAGGAAATGAAAAGTAACACTGTGTAATAGGAAATGAAAAGTAACACTGTGTAATAGGAAATGAAAAGTAACACTGTGTAATAGGAAATGAAAAGTAACACTGTGTAATAGGAAATGAAAAGTAACACTGTGTAATAGGAAATGAAAAGTAACACTGTAATAAGTGTAGTGAAGGAATGTAGCATATAGTGTAAAGCTTGAATAAGTATTAAAAAGAAAAGAACGCAAGAAAAGTGGAAGGAATGCAGCATATAGCAAAAGCAGTGTAAAAAAGATCACTAAAAATTAGAAATCTAATCAAAATGTAATTACAATTAATTAGTTAATTATTAAATTAATAAATATAAAATCTAATTTACAATATGCTGTGCATGGTATTAGATAAATAACGCATTAAATTTAGGTTTTCTAACAGGATGGAGAAAGTGTTTCGTATTGACGGTGTAAGTTCAATTAATTTGGAAATGTATTAAAATAATTAAAGGCCAAAAAAATGATCAGAGACAATAATAGGGTTAATTTGAGTTAATATTAATTTTTCCAGTGGGTTCAAATGTTTTTTTTTTAAGTGTGATACTCCGACAATTGTACTACTTCAAACATTAAAAGTAATGAACAAATATTTGAAGCAGAGACTACACTTTCTATTTATATATTAAACAGTGTGTAATACGTCTATCATTCTGCGCATTTGAGGAATCTGAATTAAGATTTTTCTTCCGGCTGAGATCAAACCTGTGACTCTTTTGTAGAGTAAGCTGCCGTTTGATCCAGCAGGCTATACAACTCAGCCACGAAGGTTTTCAGAGTAAAAAGAGCTTTGCTTAATGTGAAGTCCTAAGTGAACTATCTGTAAAGTATGCCAGATCAAACGGTAGTTTTCCTTAAAAAGGGGAGCGCAGGTTCGATATCTGCCGGGGGTTATATTTTCTTAGATTTCTTGATTGCGCAGTCCGATAGACGTGTTACACACGGTTTAATAAATAACTTAAAATTGGGTCTCTATAACAAATCAAGTGTCCGCTATGATAATGATGAAATTAGTCTTATCCTCTCTTTCTCTCCCCCCCTCTCTCTCTCTCTCTCTATATATATATATATATATATATATATATAAGAATAATTCGGCTCAATCCGGTAATGGTTGGCCACGTTTGTCAAGTTGGAAATTATTGTGAATCGGGACTTTGATCGACTACTGGTTGCGCCCAAATACATGTGGTAATATCGACATAATCGATAATGCCACAAATCTTATTAATCAGGGTCAAAAACTTGTTAGCACATAGCGTCGGATTATAAAAATATCAGTCAGGCCGAGATATATTTACGTGCATGTATCCTTTTGAATACGGCTTTGCATAACTTGTCCTTTACAGGTCTTAGCAATGTGTGTCTTTTTTCTCTCTTTCCCGCTTCTTACTCTGTCATCGATTTAAACATGTTTGTTAGTTTAAGTAGCTAGTTTTAACATTTTACCATCGTACCATCAGTATGTTCTGCCAATATCAAATATTCCAAGTCCTTTTTCTTTATTATAACTGAAAAACCTCGATTATCTTTTTCTCTTTCTAATTACAACTGTCGTTTCTGTTTCTATTTTTCTTATATCATCCTCGTCAATCACCTTTTTTATTTTAACATGGTTTGGGAATGAAACATGGTTTGGGAATGAAAGATTGGTAATAAAACAAGCAGTTCACGTATCAGTTTTGATATTTGTTTTAGTCATACAGAGTACTAAAATAATAAGCAGGAATGAATGTATGCGTCCAGAGATTGTGGGTGCCGAAATCTATTTCTACGGTCAAATTTTCTGATCTATTCCGAAGATGGAGAATCTTTTCAGTATGACGGTACCCCTTGTCAATTATAAAGTGAAACAAAATGGATTCTTATAGGTGACCATATTTTAACTCTTAAGTTATTTTCGCAAAATGTTTTCTGGCCCTCAAATCCATGAAATATCCTGGGAGGGAACTATATTGCTAATACCTCTAGTTTGGAGCAAAATTAGCAAACGTTATGAATTTACCAAGTTAACCCAAAAACTGTGCACGTTTCTGTATTTAATGAGTTAATTAGCAATTTTGAAGTTGTAGCATAATCTTGTCTACAAGTAATCTTATTTCTTACTAACCAGTTAGCAGTCTATTGGCGCAACTGAATTCAGGACGATATTGTTTTTCAATTAACCCAAATTTACTCAGTTCATTATACATATATAGAAACTGGACCACCATTTCTCTCTCTCGTGTATGTATGTGTATATATATATATATATATATATATATGTGTGTGTGAGAGCACATTTTTTCTTTCATAATCAAATTAGCGATATATCGGTGCTAGCTGTGTTGCTTATATATCAATAGTTTGTTTGTTTCATTAATCATTTAACTAGTTTTGACCCGCGAAAATCCCACGATTTTATTATTTTTAATATTCTGATGAATATCAATTCTCAAGTTAATGATTGAGTAAGCTCCTGGCATGTTTTACAACAATAAAATATCCGTAAAAATACCCCAATCGCACTGTTAAATATTTGAGCTTATTTTCACGCAATGTTGCACAATATATGAATATCAATGATGGCCGTCTTTTTAAGTAGGAAAAACGTAAATATTTGAAATTAACCACATTTTTCCATTTCAATGAAGCTGCAGTTCATCATTTCTATATTTCCTTTCTTTCTTTTGGCTTTCTCACTGAAACGAAGTCGTGTCCTTTCCCCCTCTTTCCACGCGAGCAAAACGGAATAGTACATTATTTGTGAGGTATTGGCAAGACTTGATAAAAATTTCTATTTTTTTCCTTTCTTTATTTCTTTCTTCTAATAGAAAGTACCAACATAATCGAAATAGACAGCATTTGTTCATCCTTGATTGGCTGTGCCCATGGATTCCTAAACGACTGTATCAGGTGGATCAGTGTAGCAGAGCTCCTGTACGAGACATGTAAAATGCAAAGAGCAGCTATGTGCTGGCAGTCAAAGCTAAAGTTGATGCGTTTAGATCTCGCGAGTTCTGTGAAATCACAAACGCAATTATCAATAGTTACATCATTGCTCTCTACTATAGATCACTATGGGGTTATATTTCCTAATCAAAGACTCGGATCTTTGCAATGAAGATTGTCTCTATCATCCCTTTAAAAGACAAGGATCTTTTCTTGCCTGAATATCATGCATCTTGAAATGGAAAGTTTTAAAATAAATCTTTTTTCCAAACATAAACTTTTACTTTTATGTAAGATACCGATGAGGAAATCTTCCATGTAGTTCTCAAGAACCTTCGTAAAGAACTCTCTCCAAATTAGCAAGTATGTTTAACTGCTTCCCGAAGAAAAATAATTTCAAAGCCCATGGAAGGTTTCTAGATTTAGAGTTGTTTACAAGAATGCAGGTCAGCCCTTGTCCCCAAAGTAAAATATCTCCGCATCAGACACTTTAGTGTCATCTGCATGCGTTTTTGAAGCTATCAAAACTCATGGGAGAAACATCCTGGCCTGCAAACTATAGTTTTCGCTCTTCTACGTAAACTGCTGATAACAGTTTTTCCTCCCTTAAGACTTGAAATGCTTAACAATCGCCCTGAGAGCAAAACCCAAAACATGGATTGTAGGAGAGCAAATATATATATATATATATATATATATGGTATATATATATATATATATAAATGATATATATATATATATATATATATATATATATATATATATATATATATATATATATATATATATATATATATATATATATATATATATATATATATATATATATATATATATATATATATATATATATATATATATATATATTATATATATATATATATATATATATATATATATATATATATATATATATATATATATATATATATATATATATATATATATATATATATATATATATATATATATATATATTATATATATATATATATATATATATATATATATATTATATATATATATATATATATATATATATATATTATATATATATATATATATATATATATATATATATATATTATATTATATATATATATATATATATATATATATATATTATATTATATTATATATATATTTATATATATATATATATGAGAGATTGTATGTGCGCGTAGTGATCATGCAAGTAATCACGTATTGTTCAATTAAGACTGCGTATCTTGTTGCAACCAGAATCAACACGATCATTAACTTTTCAGCCACTTTAACCGTCTTTTCAAGTGGCTTAACGTTTTCTTCGTCGTCCTTCCCATTCGATGAATTAATACGAATAATCCCTTCGCCATTGTTTATTTACAATATTTCAACTGATGCGTTGCCTGAGATAAAATAAAGCGCACGGAATCATTTCACATATAAAGGCACCACCTTTACTTCCTTCATTCATAATCATCTTGTGTGCTGCTAGAATTTTACTGTTTCTTCTTTGAAACCTTATCCTGTCCTTTTTGTTCCTCGTGTCCAATGACTTTTTTATGCAAATTCCTAAGTCTTAATAAACATTACCATTATCCATTTTCAGTGAGCAATATAAAACTATTTTTAATCAGAT